TAGGAATAGCTAGGTAGCAAATAGCTAGCTACCTTTTTTTTTGTTTCCTAGCTACCTAACTACTAGATTTTTTTTTCCTAGCTACCCTAGCTAGCCTAACTACTAGAATTTCTTTCCTAGCTACTCTAACTACCTAAATTTCGCCTTCTATACGGCGGCTCTCTCTTACTAACGGAACCGAGCTACTATACCTAACGAATCTAAGCTCGTTTTTAGTCTTAGCCTATCCTCTTTCGGTATAAAACACTCGATAAGCAAATGCTTAGGCCGAGTCTAACTACGAAACCTAAGACTAACTAATAGCTCTATTAACTAATCCTAATCCTCGAACTCCTTCCGCTTCTTAGTAAAGACTTTAAAGAGCGCTCGAGCTTCTTCGGGTACCTACGGAGTAGTCGAGATAAAGCCGTATCGCTAAAATAGGTAATCCTTCGGAGGCTTATATAGAGATTTAGAGAATTCTAACGCTAACCTATCCTACTAGTAGCTTAGATTCCGGATACAAGCCCTTTCTACCTTAGTAAAGATTTTATATAGTAGTAGTACTCTGCCTTCGAGAAACGCTTTCTATTTAACTATTAGTATCTACCGGCTACGAACGCCGGCTATATATGCCGAGTATAGAATAATTACCTATACCCCTTCCTCCTATAGTAATACTTCTGCCGTCTCTAGATACCTAGCCCCGATCGTATTAATCGTAAGCTACTTTGCCTTTATAGACGTAAAGGCTTCGCTCTAATACTAATAAAGAAACTTCTACTCTATATCGAGGATATAAAGACGACTAGTCTCGATTCTAATCCTTGCTAGCTTTTCGTAGTAGCTTTAACTATAATTTTCTAGATTAATAGGACTTATACCTTAGCCCTTTACTAGTATCTCGTCTCTTTAACTATACTCGATCTACTCCTAGCGCTTATCGTCTATAGCGTTAGGCCCTAAGACTGCACCTATTACTAGATCGACGTATAGTATCTCCTCGCTCGTTTTAGTTCCTTTATTCGTAGTATTAAGCTCTATCGCGGCATCCTAAACTCTAGTATTATTGTTCTCGGCTATCTAAATATCTCCGTTACTATCGGTCGTATCGATAGAGGTAGCGGCTATAGGTCTAAATGCTATTAGTTAACGTATTAAAGAAAAATATGCCGGCTATAGCTGCCGGCTACGGCTACCGGCTATAGCTGCTAGCTACGGCCGCTAGCTAGATTAACTTACGCTACTAGAACTTTACGCTCGAAAACTAGCCGTAATTCTTTCCTCCTCTTAGCCTTCTCTTAGGTTGTCTTCTTATTCTAGATTTTACTTTTTTCTATAGGCGCTAGCTATCGATAGAATGCCTTATTCCGCGCCTTTCTTCTCTTATCCTTAGCTCTTTTATCCTTATCTATCTTGTCCTTTCTCTCGCGGTCTCGTACGGAATTCTTCTTCGTAGAGTACTTCTCTTTAGTCTTACGCTTTTTAGTTAGACGCTTAGGCAAAACAAACTCGCGGTCTTTAGTTCTATCTTCTATTTAGCGCGCGGCGCGCTTCTCTCTTACTATTATAAGGGAAAGGGGCGGGGGCGTAGCGTATAGTAGTTATTGTCGGTATAGGTATAGAGGAAGAAGTTAAAAGTATAAGAATATCGCGAAGCCCTAATTCTTGCCGCCTATGTAACGTTATATAGGTAAGCTTTCGCAACTATAGTAACTACGCCCCGGCAATAGTAACTACGCCCTAGCAACGGTAACTACGCCCTAGCAACGGTAACTACGCCCTAGCAACGGTAATAAAGCGTAGTAAATATAACCTAGTAACTATTATAGCCGGCAATCGTAGCCGGTAGTCGAATAAGAGTATCCTTATAGCAAAACTACGCCCTAGTAACGGCAACTACGCCCTAGCAACGGCAATTACGCCCTAGCAACGGTAAAAGAGCGTAGTAAATGTAACAGAGTTACTATTATAGCCGGCAATCGTAGCCGGCAGTCGAATAAGAGTGTCCTTATAGTAAAACTAATATAGTCTCTAGTTTAAACTAGGAATCTGTATAGTTCGAAAAAACCAAACTAGAACTAGGGAGCTAGTTCGCCGCTAAGAAACTAAACTATATACGTTTAGTAGTTCGGAAACCGAACTACTACGGGGTCTACTCGAGAAGCTTTATAATATCGTATTTATAAGGATAACCGTAGGTCTTGCTTAAGTAATCGTTATAGCGGCATTCTAGGTAGGTATACGAGTACGCCGAGTACCTAATCTCGTTGCCGTTATCGTTAGTTATAGTACGTAGGAGGGCGTTAGCACGTTAATATAGTAGCTTTACTTCGAGAAGGCAGTAATCGCTTATAACTCGAGAAACGCTCGCCTAGAACGGTCTAGTAAGGGCCTTATTATAGCGCTTTAGGTTCTTAGTAAGGCGGACTCGGCGGCGATTATGCCCTTCGTTCTACTAGTTAAGAAGGCTCTCGAAGAGCGAGAATATATCGTAGCGGCTACTATAGTTAAGCTAGAGCTTAATACGTCTATACGTAGATTTAACTCGAGACGTTGTCTTATAGCTAAAGTATAGAACTTAGTTAGTCTAGCAGTCGACAATATAAGTCTTAAATCGCTACTAGTTATTATTAAGATAGCTCTTAAACATAGGATATACGTTGTCTAACTTCCGTACGTTCTTATTAAACTCGGCTTTAGTTTAACTATAGATAGTATATACGAACAGCTATAGAAACTTAGTAGTTATAGGGCTGTTAATCTAGGAGCCGTTAGTAGCCTTTACCTATCTAAACTCGCTACGTTCTTTATAGATACGAGCTAATATATCTTACTATAGATGCTAGTCGCAGACGATATTTGTAGCTTCCGGTATAACCTCCTTAATAGCGTAGATTAGTGCCTCTTTACGATTAGTGCCTATAACAAGAGGTATACTATAACTAGCTTGTTCGAGCCCCTTCCGTATAGAACGTAGCAACTTTACGAATTCGGCTTTCTCTAGCTTCGGTTTAATAAGGCTAATACTAAGCTTAATAGTATCGTTTATAGGTCTAGCGGCGACAATGTCTAGTAGCTCTAGGTTATAGAGGTTAGTTAAGTATATAGTGTCGATAATTAGTATATATAGTATATTCTTAAAGGCCTCGATTAACTTAGGGTAGAGGGCAACTATACTACGAATAGCGCCGTTCTAAGGGTTAGTATAAATATCGTAGAAGATACTATTGTCGTCTAGTAACTTAACTAGCCGCTAAGCCTAGTTTATCTCTTATCGAGTATTAACGTTATAAAGCATAGCAACATTCTATACGTCCTTTAGTTTAAGGACTATACTACGCCCGCGGAAGTAGGCTATAATCTTCGAGATTAGCATCCGAGCCTACTATAAGCGCTCTAATTCTTTAAGGAACTATATAGTTCTCGAGCGCCGCCTATAAGTAGCAAGAGCGATAATATCGTCCTTCTTATAGCTATAATAATAATGCTCTTCTTTAGTAGAATGCCGGATTACCTATTAACCCTTAGGCTCGCCTAGATAAGTAGCGACTACGTAGAAGAAGAACTTATAGCCTATCTTCTTAGAAGTCGACTTCCGCTTTATCTTATCGTCCGCCTTCTAAGTATACTTATCTAGTTTACCGAAGCAACTATATACGAAGCGGTAGCGATATTTAACGTTATCCTTATTCTTCTACGGCTTATACTACTTAAACTCGTACCTAGTCGCTTTTCCGAAGGCGTAGATATAGGACTCGAGAGCCCGATAAGACGGAAATAGCGACTCTCGTAGTATTAGACTATAAGAACGCTCCTTTAGTAAGAATAGGTACTTCTAAGGGCGTAGCGATACCGATCGATAGTCTAGAAGCGATATACGCTCGCGAGGTAGCGATAGTAAGCGATAGCGACCTCGAATACGTACCTCTAAGACTAATTAAACCTCCTTCTACGACTTAATATCTACTACCGTCGATTGCGCGTCTTCTACTACTATCTCTATCGATTGCGCGTCTTCTACTACTATTTCTATTAATTGCGCGTCTTCTACTACTATCTCTATCGATTGCGCGTTTTCTATACTTTCTACTACTATCTCTATCGATTGCGTACTTTCTACTACCGCGTCTTCTACTACTACGTCTTCTACTACTACGTTACCGCCGCCGGCGATAAGATTATCGAGAAACTCGTCGTATAATAGGGATTTAGCTATTTTCGATAGTTACTAGGTAATCTACTATAAAAGGGGGAAGAAATACGAATTTTAGGTCTACGATAGATTCGAGTAGAATTCCTTCCTAGGTAACGCGCTACGCGCCTATTAACAACACTAACTAAGAACGGAAATGGTCTATATTAGGTGGAAAGAGTACGTAATTCTATACAGTAACGATTCTACAATAGTGCTAGCATCGGGTTATGCTGGGGCTCGGGCGGGTAGCTGGGGCTCGGTTTAGTCGCGAGGGAAAAGAGCGGGCAAGATTGCTGTCAGGTTGGGGGGAACGGCATCCGTGCACCGAATGGTACGGGGATCAAGTGTGGTGATCCTAGTCGATTTGAGGTACGAATGAAAGATGCTCGCCTTGTGGCCCTTGTCGGCTTCGGTGAACAAAAGCTTCGACGCTACGAACCTAGCCAGAAGGCCCAGAACAGCTGGGTTTCCTGGGCGGACTTGTCTCCCTTGTACTGCTTTAGATTGTAATGACCAACAACTGTAATGTGATTTGGTGGAAGCCAATAATGGAAGAGTTGCTTTGTTTTCGTCCTGAGATGGTCAGATTGCGTATAGTCTGGTCGACCATAGCGGGATGTGGATCGGTCATTGTAAGGGGTCCCAATAGAGCACCACAAGCTCCACTTCCCGTGCGCGCCTTCGTTCGATACTGTATACCGGCCAGCAGGAACCGACATATATAACACTTCCGGCGGACAGGCTCAGATGGAATCATAAAATCCGGCTCACAGCAAGTGAGTGGCGACTGATGTCCTGCTTATGCTGCAACAATATCTGGCGAGTACACCGTCCATTCCAATCCATCTTCGAAAGGCAACGTCATGGTGGTGTATGGACTGCCATCGGCCTTGATATAAGACAGAAACTCGGCATAGCCCTCGGCTGCAAAGATTGTGTTGTCAGTCAGCAACATCGCTCCATTTCGTAGCTTGGGCTCCAGCATCTTCAAGACCGGAAGAGCCATTGGAGACCAGACTGCAAAGAGTCAGTAAGGACAGATCGAATATCTTACTGTCAAATAGGACGAAATCGACATCAGTAACGCCGTGTTGTAGTGTCTCGAGAATGTCGCCCTCACGAAGCTCGATCCACGGCATAACGGTTTTGCCAGCCTCTTTCCAATGGTCCTTAGCTTGAGCAGCTTTGGTAGCCTCATTCTCCGTCGCGATAACACGAGCTGACCCCGGCTTTTCCCCAGCAATTGCAGCATTCTGTCCAACAGCCACAGCCAGATAGATGGTGCTTACACCACAGCTCGTGCCCACGGCTCCACGGCTCCACTGGCTTTGATGTCAGCCTCCTGGTCCAGTGACTTTCGATGTAGCCGACGAAGAACATCTCTTGAAGAACATGGCTCGGTGCGTTGATGCTCTTGGGCGACATAGACTCCATGACATGGGCGGGAGGCGACACAAGAGCCGGAGAGGCCATGGTGAAGTTCGATGCCAGTCGAACAAGTGGCCCACGTTGCGGCAAGCGTCTCGGTATCTCGCGTCCGCGGCGCCCGCGGTTGCCTCGCCGATGGACGATGCACACGCAATCAAAACAGATGTCTCAACGTGCGGACCGAGCTCCGTGCCACTCACATGCCTCCATTTTCTACGCTCCATTTTCCACCGTCCGCTGCCTCGGCTCGCCGGGTCTCAGCCGAAGCCGGACGTGTCACGTTGAAATTCAGGTTTGCCCACACGCGAAGCAGCAATGTTTGTATTTGTTGGGCGCGGTTCAAAAGCAAAGCATTCGTGCGGAAGGCACACCTCCGCTACGCACAACCACTTGAAGCCCGCTGCAGTCGAGCTCCTCGCAGCATGGAGGCATCGTCAGAGCCAAGTGTCGCAGCCAAGAAGCTCTGGGACCAGTCAACGGCCGACCATACCAAACAGGGCTACTGGGGAGCTCCGACTTCTCATGTGAACTTTTGTGAGCAGGTACCAAAGTCAAAGGCATTCTGAGAGATATCATCTGCGCGAGACTAATCTTGGAGAAGGACTATCAGATTACATACTACATTGCCGAGTTCATCAACACTGCTACGAGTCTTGCTTACAGTAAGATCGCGCCTTCAGGAGAGCACCAAACGCTACAGGCACTGATGGTGTATCCCAGTTGCATATGGCATCCATGGTCTACGAAGGCAGAAGCGTCGCGATGTCGCCCTTTTCTCCACTACAAATCTAGCATACTGGGCGCTCATCGGAGTCGGCATCTTCTCCAGTCTCTACCACACGACACTCAAGTATCAGACACAAATGTCTGACGAAATGTCCATGTACGGCGCCATGGGCAGCTGTCTACTGCAAGTCTTTACATTCAAGGAAACCCCATCCATACAAAGGCGAAACGTGGCCATAATTCTGGGCGTCATTATTCCATTCATCATCTACCACTGCTTGACGGACGAATTTATACTCCACGTTATCCTATTCTTCACCCTATCCATCACAGTATCGAGAAGAACGCGACACATCATCAAATCAGAAATCAAAGATGAGGAGCAAAAGAACAAGCTGAGATTTCTGATCAAGATCGCTTCCTTCTTCGGCTTTGGCTCTTTCGGAATCTGGATCATCGACAATCTATGCTGTCCACTATTGACGAGCGGGAAGAAAGCGGTCGGGTATCCTTGGAGCATCTTGCTGGAGTTCCATGGATGGTGGCACATCGGGACAGCGATATCATCATATTCATTCATGGCTTTGATCGAGTTCCTAACCAACCCTGAAGAAGGAAAGACTAAAGCTCTTGGCTTCGCATGGCCTGCAAAGGTCGTTCTGCAGGACTTGTTCCCGTCAGGTGCAGCGAAGCCGAACGGCCACGTTGAGCCAAGCATGAACGGGAAAGGTGACCGTAAATCGGCCTGATTTAGCTGTTTAAATGGATAGATATTGGAGATTGAATAGAGCAAAGAAACTACAAACGATAGAATCCGAGCTAATTGCCTAACCAACCGCCATCGACCACGATCGAGCTTCCAGTCACATAGTCGCTGGCCGAGCTTGCCAGATAGATCACCGCCCCAGCCAAATCTACCGGATTGCCCCATCGCTTCATTGGAGTCCGCATCATGACCTGCATCACCAATTAGTCTCGAGACCACCAAGATCGTCACACCAATGCTGACTCACATAGTCGTTGAAGTCCTTGTACTTCGGATCAGTCTGGTACTGTTCGGTCAATGGCGTGGTGCAGTAGCCCGGATGGATGGAATTAACATTGATCCCTCTGGAAGCCCACTCGTTGCTGAAAGCTTTGCTCAATTGCATCACACCACCTTTACTGGCGGCATACGGCGTGATGTTCTTTCCGCCAATGAAGCTGATGATCGATGCGATATTGATGATCTTACCACCTCGGCTCTCGTCTTTGAGGATGGGCTTTGCAAATTCCTGGAGAACGGCTCAGTCATCTCCACAACAGTGCATTGCAAGAAGCGACCAACTTACCTGACAAGCTACCAGCGTCGCCTTCAAATTGATGTCCAAAACCGCCTCGATATCATCATCCGTGAAATCCTCGGCTTCGGCACGTCTCTGGATTCCAGCACAGTTAAGCAGAATATCTCCTTGGATACCATCATTCCAGATTCGCGCAAAGGTGGCTCGTAAGTCTTTTGCGTCTCGGACATCACAATGATACAGTTCGACTCGACGTCCGGTCTTGGCCAAAGCCTCGTGCAAGTTCCGGCTGCCGGGATCGTCTTTCAACTCGATGGAGACGATATCAGCACCGCCACTGGCCAAAGCCATGGTCATTGCTGTCCCGAGACCTCCAGTCCCTCCAGTAACAATCGCAGTCTTTCCAGCCAGAGAGAAGAGCTTGGCTGGATCGATTATGGGAGCTTGGTTGGGAGGCATGGCGTACTTTTGGTAGAAGAGCAATCCGCCCTATCGAGACCTTTTGATGCACTGTAATATTCTATCTTGGTGACAACTTCCTGCTTCACCCCATTCACCACTGGCATGAAGTGGAGGTGTATACGCCTTCACACCGAGCTGCGGGGTTCCACGAGGAGCTGACTCCGGGTGCGCGGCCGACAGCATTTCACTTTGAGGCAATTCCCATGGGAACTCCTTGTACCAGAACGGTCGCTTAGCGATTACAACTCTCATCGTGCTTATGTAGGCTTCCACTCTGCCAGCATCGACCGTAAATAATGATGAGTCCAGAATTTGACGACGAGACACCTTGTCACTTGTTGTGTATTTGGGAATGATTAATATGCGGCTGCTAATACTGTAGTGCAGGCGCTCTGCAGCGCACAACAAGATGTGCATTGCTCGATTCAATTCAATGCATGATGTTGGCCGGCACGTGGCCAAAGAAGTCCCTGAACATGGTTGTTTTGTGACGCCATACGGTGATCGCGCTGTAGCCTGTGTTCTATGTGCAGCGCGCGCGGGATGAGTTGATACGGCGAAAGTCAAACGTATACAATGCTCGCAACTCCACCCTCCCTACCTCCTGTCCGCTCCGCTCCGCCCCGCCCCGCTCCACGACTCGAGGCAGACATGTTCTCGCGATATCACATGTTCACCGATGACCCTGCGACACGGTAGCCGTCGAGCCGGACCCCCCGGGAAGGTGGAATTTCGAGCCATTCAAGAGCTTTGCTCAGCACCCGTGTCCACATGCGACACCATCCATCACCGCCGCCGTCGCCATCGCCAGCGCCAGCACCGCGAGGTTTTGCAGGCCGTGGCAAACACTGACCAACACTGACTTCTGCACGCAGACCTCACCATGGACGGGCAATCAGCGGGCAAGCGCTGACTCGCTGACGTCTATTGTTGCCGTCCCCAACAAAGACGCCCTGTAGCCATTCGAAGCTTTTGCATGATCTTCATGCACGCGACCCATTGTGCTTGATAGCTTCGCCCGGCCCAGCCCAGCTCCTCGCTCTCCTTTATCGCTTACTGCTGCTGTCTGCAAACACTCGCATCTCGAGGCTCGACCTCGTGCTTCGGCCGTCGCAGAGACCGTGCCACTATGAAGTTCGCGCAGAATCTCCCGCGCAACCAGGTGCCTGAGTGGGCTTCGTCGTACATCAACTACAAGGCACTGAAGAAGCTGATCAAAGCCGCCACCAAGAATGTCGAAGAGCATGGCGGAGAAGAGCCAGACCTGGCTGGTACTGTAAGCGAGTCCATGGGCACGTTAGATAACCTAACCGTCCTGCAGAGTTCTTCTACACTCTTGATCGCCAGTTGGAGGATGTCGACACCTTCTACAATCGCAAGTATGCCGAGTTCTCCCGCCGACTTCGACTTCTGTACGACCGCTATGGCATGGCGTCCAAGCTCAAAGACGGCATGGAAAAGGAGGACATGGAGGACCTGATGGGAACACTTCTCGAGCTTCGCGGCCAGTATCGCAAGCTCCAGTGGTATGGCGAGGTCAATCGCCGTGGCTTCGTGAAGATTACCAAGAAGCTGGACAAGAAGATAGCATCTTCACACACCCAGAGCCGCTATCTGGCCACAAAGGTTGACCCAAAGCCTTTCGCCACTAACAATAAGCTCACCCTTGACATGCGTGGCATTAATGAATGGCTCTCCAGCTTGGGCGAGATCAAAGTCCTGGACGATTCCAGTTCTGTACACTCCGGCAGCTCTGGCTCCATCCATCGCATGGGTTCTAGGGCCGCCCTGCGCATTCCATCCTCCGCGCTGGAAGCCATGGAGAGTGCTGTTCGTGAGGATAACACGGCCAAGTTGTTTGAACTTGTCTCCACTCACCTTCCCAACGCCAACAATGGCATGCAGAAAGGCCTTCTGCTTGATCTACTGCAACGAGCGATAAGCTTTCAGAAACTTAACTGTATAGCAGCCATCATCGACAAGCTGCCCTCGATCGATCCAGACGACGACATAAACAAGCGCAATTGCTTGCACCGACTCATCATCGCCACTGGACGGGCAAGAGCATCGCACAACTCTGGGGGATATCAGGAGATATCAAAGACAACTGGTTATATCAACGCTGCAGAGCCGCCCGTGCGAGCTCCGGGTGCTTTCAAGGTCGAAGAGCGTGATCCGGATCAGGATCCGTTCAAAGATGACCACATTGAGAAGCTGCTTGTCTTCATTTTGGAACATCTGAGCAAGGAACAACAGCCAGCAGTGCTCACCAAAGACATTTACGGCAGGATGCCACTCCACTATGCCGCTCAGTACGGACTCGTATTCGCCACTGACATGCTGATGAAGCACATGCAGCAATGGGGCCTGTTCAATGTTTCCAGCGGCATTGACGCACCAGAATGGCAGGATGACGAAGGCTACGCACCCCTCCACTTGGCTGTCATTGGGGGTCATTACCGCACGTCTAAGGCGCTCTTGCTCGTTGATGACTGGCACCACTTCAAAGACGCTCGTTTGACCAACAAGCACGCAGAGAAGAGTGGATTATCTCTGGAGTTGGCCACAAAGTCCAACTACCACAAGATCGTGAAGCTCCTGGTCGACGTCGGTGTCGATGTCAACTTTCGTGACGAGAATGGGGAGACTGCGCTCCACATTGCCGCTAGATTCGGTTATGAGGATTGTGCACGCGCTCTTCTCGATGCAAAGGAGGGCGAGCAGCGCATCAACGTCGAGATCGGCGAAAAAGCGTACAACTGGACGCCATTGTTCATCGCCTGCGTCAATGGGCACATGAATATCGTCAAGCTTCTGATCGCTGCTGGAGCTCAAATCAACAAGTTTGATTCTTCGCTCTGGACGCCTCAGGAACATGCTGCTCTCCGCGGCCATATTGACATCGCCAAGTACCTCGCACAATTCACACCACCTCCAAGCATACATCCCAGCCCAGAGTTGCAGGCTCAGCTGTCCGGATCGCCTCCCAAATCATCGTCCCTAGAGGACAGACGATCGAACGGCGTGCAGCGGGAAGAGGTTCAGAGGATGAGAATCCCAGAACCAGTGAAGTCCTTCGGTCATCGTTACTTGTCGGATGAATCCATGGTATTGGTGTCGCTCGGGACTTTGGACGAAAACAAAGACCTGAAGCCGATCAGTCTGGAGGATATTGCCATCACCGACGCTCACGCCACGCAGCTTGATACAGCTTTGTCCCTGGTTGTGACGGCGCAAGGTGCCACGGGCGAGCCGAATGTAATCGACCTGCCAATACAGGAGGAGATCAGCACGACGCCAATTACGTTCATGTGCAAAGACCCTTCAAAGGTGAAGCTCTTGTTCGACCTCGTGCCGACCTATTCTGGGTCCACGGATAAGAGAATCGCGCGAGCTGTTGCACTCCTGTCCAGCATCAAGACTGGTGTTGGCAACAAGCGCACGACTTTGCAGACTGATCTTAGCGTCCCTCTTCTTGCTGGACCCAACTTCGATGTCATTGGGACAATCAACTTCAATTTTCTGATCATCACGCCCTTCAAGCATCCAAACCTCAGCATTTCTGAAGAGAAGACGTATTGGACCAAGTCGTCCACCAGGGTAATTGGCCACCGCGGCCTTGGCAAGAACATGTCAACCAAAACGTCCTTGCAGCTCGGAGAGAACACGATTCAGTCTTTCATCACTGCAGCCAACTTGGGCGCTTCATACGTTGAGTTCGACGTACAGATGACAAAAGACCACGTTCCGGTCATCTATCATGACTTCACTGTCAGCGAGACAGGTGCAGATGTGCCGGTGCATAGCCTGACCTTGGAGCAATTCCTAGCTTTAAGCGACACGCCTAAGCCATCACGACCAAATTCGCCGCCCACAATACAAGGACGCAGTGACCGAGCTGTCCAGGACCGACGTATACAGCGATCATACTCAGTCGGTGCGCCATTTGAGGACACCAAAAGAGATCGCCTCAAGCACACGCGTGATTTCAAGATCAAAGGCTTCAAGGGCAACACCCGTGGTGATGTGATTCAGTCGCAATTCACGACGCTTGAGCAGATGTTCGACTCGCTTCCGGAAGATGTCGGCTTCAATATTGAGATGAAGTATCCTATGCTTTTCGAGCTTGTGGAAGAAGAGATGGACACCTACGCCATCGAGCTCAACTTGTTCGTTGACACGGTGCTTAAGATGGTGTACGACCGACGGAAGAAGAGGAACATCGTCTTCTCTTCTTTTCATCCAGACATTTGCTTGATGCTCACCTTCAAGCAGCCATCAATTCCCGTTCTATTCTTGACCGATGCTGGAGTCTCGCCTGTCGGAGATATCCGAGCGTCGTCACTTCAAGAAGCAATTCGCTTTGCGTCGCGCTGGAACCTTCTGGGCATCGTCAGCGCCGCTGACCCCTTCGTGCTCTGTCCACGACTCATTAATGTCGTCCAGTCATCCGAGCTTATTTGTGTCTCCTATGGAACTCTGAACAACGACCCGCACAACAGCAATCTGCAAGCGCAAGCCGGGATCGACGCTGTGATTGTCGACAGCGTAGCACGAATCCGAAAAGGTTTGACAGAAGCAGAGGCTCCGAAGAGCATCACAAATGGAGAGCAAGACAAGGTCGAAAACGAAGCGGAGATTCAGCGCACCAACGGCACCACCGAGGGAGTCTCGACTTTGACACAAGATTTGCAAGATGGCTTGCAGCTTGCAGCACAGGTGCAAAACACACAGCAAGCTCAAAAGTCACAATAACACCATACACATCTACAGGAACAAAAAGGCGTCAGGGGGATACGCAAATGGAGCACACCTTCAACATGCGCCAGTCATGTGTGAGTGATGCTGTATACTTGAAAGGAAGTGCTTTTTCTCTGCTCCTGCGTTCCGGACTCAAGGGTCCAGGATTTGGTTCTTGTGTTCTGTGGCGTTTCTGTGTTTTATTTCTGCTGGAGCTGGAGGTGCTCGCGTCCCCATCGGATGCTTGAGCTTGATGAGACGTGCGGCGATCAGGTGATGAAGAGATAGAAAGTAAAGGTAGAGTCGCCAAGGTGCTCGAGCTGATAGCAGGCAGCTCTGAGGTGTACTTCATACTATGGCTTGTACAGAGCTGCCATATGCAATGAAAAGCGATTGGTTGGATTTTGACTATAGAACGCACTGTCATCGCATTACAGAGGCTAACGATACTCCCACATGATTGACATTGCAACGACCTCGATACCCGCATTGTGGGTTTCTTCGTAAAACGATGATTTTTTGGCCATGGTTCTTGGGGGGGCCCAAGGATCATGTTCAGAAATGTTTTGGTTAAAAGAGGTTGTTCTGGGGAAATTTTTTTTTCCAAAGGTCCAGAAATTCAGTTGTAAATAAGTGGGAAAAAAGGATTGGGTTTTTTCCCCCCCCTTTTTCGGAGTTTGGAACATTGACATCCGCGAAAAATTTCCACCCATCCTTCTTTTTTTTCCCCGAAAGGGAGACCCTTTTCCCATCCTTTAAGAGGGACGGATTATTCCCCTTTTAATTGGGGGATTTTACCCCCCCCCCCCCCCCCCCGGGTCCCAATTCGGATCCCTCAAAGCACTCTCCTGCGCACTTCAAACTTCTTGACTCGAGACTGCAAAGAAGGCAAAGAAGGCAAGATCTATTTTCCAGACAACGACCTCGGATCTTGGAAAGTCCTTTTCTATTCGATCACAACCCGGAAAGTCCCTGATTATGGTCCTGAGAAAGACGATGGTGGTCCCGAAGCACATCACTTTTTCGCCTGACGATGAATTTGCTCTTCTGCGGTGCTCTTCTAGCTAGTCTAGCTGGACATGGTAACTTATGCTTGTTCCTCGGGTCTTACTGCATGATATATCCAATCCATGAATTACACAACATCAATGTGCAAATCTAAAATCCAGCCTCTTATTCCCTTCATCTTTCGTTGTGTTCAGATACTCCAATTGTTCGTCCTTTGTCATGGCATTCCAGCGTCTATCGCGCTGTTTGTTGCGATGGATGTAGTAGAGCTTCGTGCAAGAATATATTCCAAGGTTGATGAAGGCAAGGAGGAGGAGAGCTTTGTTGCCACGAGTGAAGTTCGGTGCATCGTCTGGAAAAGATGAGTTCAGATCAGCAGAAATAGTCGAAAATCTCGACGAAGGACTGGACTTACCTTTACGATACATATTCGAAGAGATGATACCGCCACCTTGGACAAACATGTTATAGCACGCCGCTGAGACGGTTCGTGATCGGGTTGTGTTTGAGTTGCGGGAATTCCAGCCAACCTGTATCGGATGAGGATTTGGCCAGGATAGTAGGAGTGTGACGATGATCCAGATGAGCCATGGTGATGTATGTTCGACGTCGGTAAAAATCAGGAAGATGAGGAACGGTATTGCCCAGATCTGTCCGATCGCCGCGTGCAAAGATAAGTTGCCAAAGACTTCGGAAGAGTAGGACAGAGCGAGCATGCCGATGATGGAGAATGCTGTCCACGGAATGGCAAGTAGATTGCTAGAGAATGTGTCGTATCCTAGGCCTCGCAGCGTAAGGGTGAGATACTGGCTGGATGGTGTCATGGGGACTTCGAATAAAAGTCCAACGAGGTACAGTGGCCTGGGTCACTGGATCAGTCAAGGCATCGAAGGAAATTTATGCAGAGATACCAAAGGTCAAAGTCTTTCAAGCTCTTCCACAGTAGCCTCGGCGTGACTGCTTCTCGATTATGCATATCACCTTTGCTCGGATCTTCTCTGATGACCCGATTGACCATGATCTCCTCTTCACGGGGCGTGAACCAGCCCTTCTGGCCTCTGATCCAATTCGCGGTTTGACATGGGCCCGGTGGCATCAGTGCTGTCGCTGCTATTCCCATGAGTAGAGTGAATAGGCCTTCTATCAAGAAGAGCCTAGACGACGTCAGTAATGAGTTTTCTCGTTTTCATCGGACATCTCACCATCTCCAACCGGCATGACCTCCAACGCCCCTCAAGTGAAGCAAAGCGTATGCAGAGAATCCAGCTAGAATTTCTGCAACGCTCTTGGCAGTGTAGAAGAAGCTGAGTCGAAGGGACAGTTCATGGTGTTTGTAAAAGTACGAGAGATAGAGCACGATCTATAAATGTCAGTATCCGAAGCGTGAACAGTACTTCGACTGCTGACATCTGGTATGAAACCACCTTGCAGCACTCCGAGTAAGGCACGACATGCAAGAAAACTGGACTTGCCACTGATCCAGAATTGAGCAGTAGCTACGAGTGACCACAAGATCATCTGCATTGGAATCCATCTGTCAGGCCCCATCCACTTGCTCACAAGCTGAGATGGTAGCTCTGCGCAGAGAAAGCTGAGCTTGAACACTGTGTTTCCCAGGTTGTAGTCGTCGGTGGTGAGATTGAGATCATCGAGAAAGTTGTCGGTGTTGGCTTGGGTGATGTTGGCTCGATCGAGCTCAAGTGCCATGAACATGAAACAAGCGAAGACCATGATTCGAGCGTCGATCTTCCGGAGGAGCGCATATTCCTCTCGCCATGTCCATCGCGCCAGTGGATCAAATCGGTGAATGTTCTCCCAGCCCGGTCGTGGCAGATAATCTTTGGCCAATGCTGGGTCGTCGAAAACACTCGGCTGGGTTGCGATGGCATCTTGATCGAATGTCGTCGAAGACCTTTGGAACCAGAACCTTCTCTCCCGGTGCGGTTGGCCCAGCGGCGGTATGTCTTCCGGAAAGTCACCTGCATCGAAGGTCTTGTAGTCTTCAAGGGCAGTGTCGACTGTGCGTGCATTGGTCAGGAGACGCGTCGTTGCATGAGGCGGATCGTGTGAGGAAGGAGAACTGACGAGAGCGGTAGGCATGGCGGAACGAGCGCAACCAAGCAGAAAGCGTGGAGAGGTATCGAGACATGTCGTGGTAAGGGAAGCGCTATACCAAATGTTAGTGAGACGCGATCCATGATGCCATTGCCATCCCGCGCGTCCAAAGCACGCAATGTGGGGCAGGCACGTATGGCTGGGCGGCAGGCACGTATGGCTGGGCTGGGCAAGAGCGTGATAAGTTAGCAGCTCCTCGGATCTTTGCGAGTCCGCTGCTTCATCGCATCGCATTGCTGCCACGTCGAAATGCTCGTGCGAGGCGGCCGGCGATTTCCGAGGTGAAGAAGGCTACTGACCGCAAGGCTGCGCTGGGTGGAGTGTTTCGAGGGCAGCGCTGGTATTGTCTTCTAGTCACGACATGTGCTGCAATCAAGACCAAAGAGACCAAGCACCATTATTGTGGCGAATCTTGAAGCCATCGCCCTCTCCTAAGAACGGCGAGAAGCGTGTCCAAGTGCCAGAAGGGAACGCTTTCGTGCTTGGCTGAGCCAGACTGCAGAGAACTTAGAGAAGGAGACAGGTGTGGGAATAGGTCCCGTCCCGCAACAACCTTGTCTTCAAACCTGGCCGCGCCCGAAGCGGAACGGCGCCGGTGCCGTCTTCCTTTTCATTAGAATATTATTAAACGTCTAGGCTGATGCGCACCATCAACTCACAAGCTCTAAACAGTGCTTGGTCTAACAATGCAGGGTATATCTTCGAACAAGCCATCTTCGCATCCGACCTTCGCATTTCACGAACCACAATCATGCAGGTACAGGTAAAATGCCAATATCGCAATCATTGGTCGCGCTCGCCCATCATTCTTCGAGCTTACCTGCCGCCATTCTCTCAAGCTCAGCGACACTCGTCACTTTCGTAACACGTTCGACTTCTTTGCGCTGCTGCGGCCGAACCATCTTCAGTAGCGGTGGGATGCGACTCTTCTTGTTCAATCCAACGCGATGATTCAGCATCTTGCTCGTCTTCTTGATGGGCGAATGCGTCGTCGGGCCTGATTTACTTGCCGACCGTGCCTGCTGCGGCGCGTGGTCCTTCTTCGAATTTCCACTGTCTGCTACTGGACTGACCTCCTTGACTTTTGGCAGTGTGATCGTGTCTTTGGCTTTGAGTACATTGCATTCTCCTTCTGCGCCTTTACAACTTGAGGATGCAGCATCTTTGGTGGTGGTCGCCTCGTCAGGCTCTGCAGCCGGCGGAAGCGCATCATCAGCCTTGCTTTTGGCTGAGCGGCCGCGCTTCTTTTTCGATGGCCGTGCTTCGTCCTCCACAGTAGACTGGACGGCATCTTCTGCCGCAGAGTCATCCTGGACCATTTCAGCCGATATGGACTTCCGACCCTTCTTGACAGGCTCCGTGCCGACAATTTCGTCCTCGGCGTCAGAGTCATCGAATACTTTTCGAGTAGATTTTGCTTTCCGCCCTCGCTTTCGCGGCGCCTCGTCATCTTCTCCTTCGTCATCCAAGTCTTGGTTTGACCCATGATGAGCGGCACTGGTCTTCTGTAAGTCTACTTTGGGTGGCCTGCCGCGTGGTACCAGCACCTCTTTTTCGACCTCCTTGCTAAGCTCGTCCTCATCATTCTCATCATCCTGCATGATTCTGCGTCTCGCCTTGTTGGGGGGAGCCTTCCTCTTCCCTGTCCCTTGCAAAGCTGACCTGCGGTCTGCTTGTTGCTGGCTCAAGCTGGGTGACTTCTGCGAACTCTGGGAGCAGTCTTCAAATATGGTAGTATGACTCCGCGGTACTTTCTTTTTCATGGAAGATGCTGGCAGCGATGGCGGACCCATCTTCGATGGCGACGGAGATGGCTTGGCAGGCGGTGCAGCACACTTGATGGGAGACTGCTGCGCCTTTTTCATTTCTGGTGAGGTCAAAGGAGACGCCACTGGTCTCATGGGACTCACCACGTTCGACGCAGCGGGCATCTCTGGCGTGCCTGCTGCCGACTTGTTCGTGGTCTGTGGGGCTTCCGAAGAGACTGCCTGCTCTCTTTTGGACGTTTGTGATTTCGACTGCTTTTGAGACGCCTTCGCATTTTGCGTGATTGCCTCGTCAACGGTCTCAGGGGTAGCACTGGCATCGTTCAGAGTTTTGCGTCGCTTCTTTGCGGCCTTCTCCGGCACGACGGAGTAGTCGATGGGTTCTTCAGGCAGCTCTGTCATCCTACGCCGGCTCGGCTTTGCTTGATACCGCTCTTTCGGCAGGCCGACAAGTAAGTCTTCCGAATTCAATGGCTCAGATGATGGTTCTTTGGTCGTAGTGCTCGCCTTGCGCTTTCGTCCTCGAGCTGATTTTTGCACAGTGGTAGCGGAAAGCGTCTCTTCAGGCATGTTGTTGGTATGCAAAATGACCTGCGGGCTTGATCTGGGTAAGAGAGAGACTTTGAGCTGACTCGCATCGCTTGTCTTCAGGTCGTCCGGAATTGGGGTCTCAAGCTGTACCAGGTCCTCAGCCGGCTTGCTTGCGGGCGCCGCCAGGCCTGACTGAGGAGGTTCGACTGGTTCTACGACCTTATCTGCTTGCTCTTTTTCGTCCTGGTTAGCATCTGCGTCGTGCCGAACAGACTTCTTTAATTGACTGCTGTGCGGCGACTGGGTTGTGTGTGCCCAAAGCGAGAAAGGTGAGCTCGGATTCTTCTCGGACTCTGCGAGCTTGGCAGCTGAACTAACTGGCTGTCTTACGTCCTGAAGAGCTTGTTCCAGCATTCGCTGCTCGGAGGACTCATTAAATGCCACCGTGCTTCCCGTGTCTCTGAACATGACGTTAGGATTGTGCTTGGCAAAGTCGTCCTCGATAGTGCCGCTTGGCAGTGCTCGCGAGGATGCAGGGCCGCCAGAGTGATGTGAGAGTCGGAGCGACTGCGATTCTTGTTGATCAGGTTGATCGTCAAGAAGCGCATTGAACGCCGAATTGTCGTCTGCCTTAGGAGTTCGCAAGGTCCTTCCTGACCCGTAAGTCGTGAGAGTCTTGGTACGCTTAGTGCTCCTTGAAGGTGTCTGAGTAGGAGGTGGTCCAGCTACGGCAGTTTGTCGCCGACTTAATTTCTGCCTTGCAGGTGAGGAGGTCGAGGTTGCGGCTGCCACGGTGTTGGAAGTCGTAGAGTTGTCAGCAGTCGAATTGAAGAAGCCTCGCTGTACGTCCTGAATCTGCCTGTTTAACTCTCCTGAAAGCGATGTCAGCACTGTTGGCGCAGGAGAACGGGCGAATTGCACACCTGTAGAGAGGCTGCTTCGATCATTGGCACCGTCGGTCATACTCTCAAACGGAAATGTGGCGAGCACTTCTTCGGCGTGTGCTATACAGCCAGACACAGTACTCCTCTGACTTCGTTGAGTAGGCCGATAATCTTCCACCAAGACTTCTTCCTCGTCTTCGGAATCACAGATCGAGCGTGGCATTCTGGTTGTTGTTGTGCATTGCAGTTGCCGCTCAGGTATGTCTAGTCAAAGTGGATGCCTGGCCAAACAAGCGTGGCAGTGATAGCCCGCCGATGAGCCCTTCACTGATTATCGATCAGGATCGGGATTGCATCGGCATTCTCATATGTTGCCTCTGTTGTTGGCGAAGGTGAAGTCATTTGTTTGTAGCTCGTGGGATCGCGATCGAGACGCGTTCCTTGCCGAGCGGCCCGAAGACCGAGACGCGACTTCCTCCACATCATTCCCCAGCCATTGCTCTTGCTTCCACATCAACACCTTCGACCACGCCTACCGCAGATTTGGCAGCGAACTCGACCCGACCTCAAATCGTCATGCCGTCGCTGAGTGTCGCGTAACCGGTCCAGCAGCAGACTTCGAAGCTCCACGATCCGCGCCGCTCTTCTACACACACCAACAGCACATACCCTCCACACAGTCCTTCGAGTGCCCATCGTCTGCTCTCCTTTCGCGGCTTCACGGCTGCCAGCGGAGTTAGACAACGGTTCACACTGCGCTCAACTCTCTTGCAAAGCCATGCGACACCAGCGAGCCTCGTGCAGGTCCTCAGATGCGTCGCTGGCAGCGCTCGAGAGTCGAGTGGATGGCGCATCTTGGAGTGCTTAACCCTAAGCGATCTTCTCGGTTACAAAGTATCACGATGTCCTCTGCTGTGCCCTCAGTACGACAAGCAGCCGGCTTTGCGACTAGTCTGCGGCCGACCCTGATCCTGTGAAGCTGCTGCAGCCTGTTTTTCGCGAGACATGGTGAAGCTGGCGGAAGGGAGACGGGAAGGCGAGACGAAAGTGTTGCTGGTCATGTCCGGTGCGTTCTATCAAGCAATGCGATGTAATGCAGCGGCCTCATGCGTCGGTTTGGGAAGACTTCTGAGGAAGCGCGCGTCGAGGCTGCTGGCTGGACGAATGCTCTGATCATGAATGGATAGCTTTGATGGCACACGCTGCATTTGTTGCATGGGAGGGAAGTGGACGAGGAATGCCGGACAGCGCTTTCATCACCCTGTCTCTATGATCTCCACATGCTGTTGCAATTGTTGGCATGGTCTTGTGGCTGGGGCAGACGCTGGCAACATTGAGCTCCGGATCGGTCGGTTTCGAGACCACTTGAGTCCATTCATCAGCATCTCAATTGATGTCTGTCGCTCGAAGATGGGCTGAGCCTTGGCTGGCTTGATGAAGACACTGGCAGAGCATGGTAATACCCACACACCGACGGCACGGTGGGAATCGCTTCTTCACTGGCATCGCACTGCACTCGTCTGTCCATGTCTGCTTCGAAGCGACATGTGCGAGGCAATTGCACTCCACACACTGAAGCTTTTCCCTCCCGAGCTATCCTCTGGCATACCATAGCTCCTGCAGCCCAGTGCTCCTTTTGAAAGTCATACCCATGGTGAGGCTGTCTGAGACGACAGTTGTTTGCACTCTTGTGACTCTTGTCGCCGTGGACCACGTTTCGGCCTCGGTACGCAGTGGTTCAACATCCACCAAACAGCTCTGCTCTACTACTCAACCTGCTCAGCTTTCAATTGCTCTGGCGAAGATCTTTGCGCACTCCTTCAACACGCTACGCTGTTTTAACAGAAAGCCAACCACTCTCGAACCCATCGACATCTTAGCACGAACCTCAAAGCTCGCACCACAGCAACCGCTACCGGTGTGATTCTCAAGAGATTATCCGATCAGTCGTGTCAATCACCTCCTTCCACATACCTTGCGCGAGCCTGGAGAGTGGGAGTCGACTGGTGAGCGCCGAATACGACCGCACCAACTCGTCCTTCCAAGACGATGTCGGTGCATCCTCACCTCTTCACTATCGTGGTTGTGAGATGGCGAGCGGTTTTTGCTGATGTACTTTGGCCGCTTGCGTCGCTTCTTGCGACATACTGCCTCTCAAAAGTCGGGTTACACCGTTGAGAAGGAATCAAAGACTTGTCTCTAAGCGGGAGTGCTATTACACACTGAGCAATGCGATCGTGGAGCCGAGAAGCGAGCTGTAAAGGGCTCGCAAAACGACATGCTGCGTTCTGAGCGTATGGTCTTCGATGAGAGGGATGACTGTCGAGATTTGATGTCGCTACAGGCACGGTCAAGATGTTCATATGCGATTGTTCGGACGCTCGAGCCCGTGCTTCCGCTGGAAAGCTTGTCGATGGACGTGGTGTGTGACTACGGGCTGGAGTTCGAGTGCGCGAGAGTGGGACCTCTCTAGAGTGAGGATCAAAGCTTTGGCTTGTCTACTTTCCGTGTTCGCCAGTCGGTGGAAGCCATTGCTATCTTTCCGCTATGCTCGAAAGCCGGACCATGGTGCAGAGTCGATGAGGAGTCGCAAGAGACGCGCATGGGCGCGAATGTCGTCTTCCAGGCTTGCTTGGGAGGCGGCTGGGAACTTTTTTTTATAAGTATCTCCCTTTCTTTCTGCATTGAATGGTGATCAGCTAACTACATTGCCAGAATCGATCCGCTTGACATGTTGCTATTCAACACGTCCAATGCCAGCTTCACGACAATGCAACTGCTGCTCTCCAGAACATGACGAATGCCCATCCAGTTCCAGCAAAGTAGAGGGCACTTCTCAGATAGCTCCACCGCCTCGTCTCCGTCGCCAAGTAGTTCGCCGTATACGCAATTCGGATGGCATTCCATCCCAGCACGAAATTGATCAGTCCGATTTCTCCCTCGCCAACTCTTGCTTCTGCCAGCATTCCTGCGAAGATGGCTGCCACATAGAGCGGCATATTCTCGAGATGATTGCGATGGCATGACTCTCCACGTTCGAAAGCAGCGAGCTGCCTAGCGGACAGACGCTTCTTGAGAGCTTCAAGCTGAGCAGTGCCTTTTGGGTTGCGGTTGTCGTGCTTGTTGGGGTCGCCTTGGGTTGCTTTGTGGATTGCATAGCCATGTGGAAAGACGGCGAGCGCATAGTAGAACGGGATCGAAAGAATTGGGATGTTGAAGGATATCGTCGACATGATGAAAGTGTCTTTCTTGTATTATGTTGCTGCTAAGGTTCTCGTGGTCGATGCTTTGCTTTTGGAAATCGAGGCAGCGGAGGGCGCAGCAAGAGGAGTTGTGTATGCCAAGTACGAAGGATGTTCGCTGAACAGGAATACGTGGAAGTAGAAAGGTCCAATACTACCGCGCGATGATATGATGCGACATGCCAATTGTATCTGACATTGCGAGAAGCTCGTACCCAAGCCAAGGCATTCGAAATCCTTACGAGCTTGCGCTTAGCCGAGGGATCGGCGCATGCCTGCTCTCCGACTCTCCGATAGAATAGCTGCCACTGCGGACCCGGACCAGGGAGCGCAATCAGCCCGGCGGCCTAAACGTAGCACTAGACGTATACCTCGGAACCTCGCGATTTCCGGTTTCTTAGAACCTGGCGTTTTCCGGTCTCTCGTGTTTCTCGATATATCGTGTTTCTTAGTATCTCGTATTTCTTATTAGTATGTGTCGTTCAAATAGCAGTATTTAGCTATAGCACGTAATATACCGTACTATACGCGATTCGGCGCATTGCGTTACCTCCGTTTCGCCGATATCGTAATACTTAGTAGTAGCAAGTATTAACATTAGCTATTAATATTCTATCTAATTTCTATATAGCATACTATAAACGTGCTATAGCTAAAGCCTCTCGAAATAGACAAGTTATAGGTCGTATAGCATACCTAGAACAGGACAATTAACACATTTAATAGCCGCTACGGCTCCTTATTCTGCGGTAACTATAGCTTAATAACTGTCTCTTTACCTATAGTATAGCTATCGTATACTATAGCGAAATGTTAGAGGTTTCTAAGCTCTTTTGCGACATTAAAGTACTAAAGCAAGCAAGTATAAATAACCTCTTCTTTACCTATAGTACGCCTATTATATACTATAGCGAAAAGCTAGAGGTCTCTAAGTACTATAGCGAAATGCCGGAGGTCTCTAAGTTCTTAGGACTTAGGAACAGATCTATACCCTACTAGAGTATCTATATACTACTTACATTATAGCGGCGGCGCAGTTTGCTATAGTATATATTATACGTACTATAGGCCTTAATATATAGAGTAGACAGACTAGCTTCCTATACTCCGCCGATCGCCGGCCTCGTTATTATAAGCATATCTATAGCGGAGCTATTAATATCTCTAGCTAGAAGTGCTTGTTATCGTATTAAGCACTTTTACTAGCGTAGTTTAACGGAAAGTAGCTTAATCGACTTAACTTAGCGGTCCCTTATCCTTCGTTTCCTTCTATAGATTTATTAACTAAGCTATCGTTAGTATACTATAGCAAATTAAGAAGGACCTCTACTTGTTTGTTAGTATATACGTTAGTAAGCTAAGGAACAAGAATACTAGAAGTAGAAGTAGAAGATTAATATAGTAACAAGATTAGTAGAGCGAGAAGAGAGTTTATTTATAGTAGTAGCGCTACTATACGCAAACGCTAAATAGCAGACCTACTAAGAGTATAAAAACAAAGTAAAGAATATAGCCTATTATACCTAAAGGCTAGCAAATAGCAAATAGCAAATAGTAAAAGCAAAAGCAAAGCAAAGTAAAGTAAAGAAGCAAACAAAGAAGCAGACTAGCTACTATACCTAAACGCTAAATACTAAATACTATTAGTAAGCATCGTACGTCTTACTGCTATATTTTAGGTCTTACTACGCGAAAAAGTAATTAGTCGTAAGTCTAGTTTACGCGGCGATACTAACCGCAACGAGTAGTAGCCGGAGTGCCGGTATTATTAGTAGCCGCTATAGTATAGTAGCGACAATTGTCGACCTAACGATAGTCGTTCTATAGGAACGACTTGCGGATATAGCGGCGGTAGGCAGGCATACGGAGCTTACTAAGCCTACGAGCCGGGTCTTAGATCTAACTAGTATAGTACTAGTTTACTAACTTACCCGAAGGCCTACGCGCAACCTCTACTTACTAGACCTATATATAATAATTAGCTATTCGTTTATTAATCGATTAGCAAGTATAAGAATTAAAGCATACTATAGGATTAACCTCTACTAGACTACCTTATGTTAGTATAATATATTAAAGGCTCTACCTAGTAGGGCGACTATAGCAGCGAGGCATAGAAGCGGTAGTAGTAGGCTTATCGTCGTCCTCGTTTTCTTCTTCGTCGTTATCGTTATCGTCGCTATTTTTATACGATTATTAGCATACTGCTTAACTACTCGATAAGACTACTAGATAGATATACTATTCTTAGGCGGGCTCGTAGTACTACTTATTATTATTATTATCGCTATATATATATTAGTATCTAGATTTAAGCTTAGCGACAAGTCGGACTTATATAATAGGCAAGACGCCTATATTCTTATCCTTGTCCTTATTATTATCGTCGTCGTCGTCGTCGGCAGTAGTAGAGCTATCTAAGTAGTTAGTATATTATTTATCGATATAGATTAAGGAAGAACTTATATCTATAGTAGTAGCAGAGGCGGTAGTTATGCCTACTATCTACTATATAAGTTAGTATCTAAACTCGAAGACCGATTAAGGATTAAGGATTAATATACGCTTACTACTACTATAGTAGTAGTAGAGAAGGTAGTAGAGATGCTCTCGTATAAGTTAGTAAGTTAATCCTATAAATAGAATAATCGAAATACCCTTACTATACTACTGCTACTAGCTATATCTATAGCCTAACTACTGCTAGTACTATAGCAACTCGTGCTACCTTCTCTTATACTGCGGTAATCTTAGAGTTTCGTATAGTGCGGCGCATATCGAGATAGAAAAAACTAGGACCTAGTTAGCTATTAACTACCCTCGACTACTACTAAGTACTATCTAAGAATATATATACTCTACTATTTAGCTAGCGCAGCCGGTTCTAATTAACCGTAGAGCGGCTAGGTAGGACATTACGCTATAGACTAGACTATAAGCGTATTAGTATCTATCTTGCTAAACACTCGCTAATAGCTAGAATATACGACATTGCTTATCGGCTCGCTAGAAGGACCGAACTAAGGAGCTATCTTTATTACTTTCTATACTATTAACGTAGTTCTTATATTTAAGGTGCTATTATAGACGAGGGTAAGAGGGTATATACGATATAGAGAAAGAAGGAAGAAGAAACAAGAGAGTACGGCGGAAGATATATAGTTATAAGAGCTATAAGAGTAAGGTTTTAGGATTGTCGAGTAGCTATACTACTCGATAATAGTAATAAAGTAGGGCTACGGTAAAGTTAGGATAGTAAAGTCCCCTTCTAAGGTAAACCTATACTATAAAAGTAATAGATAATAACCTATAGCACCTAAATTTAGGTGCTATAGGTAATTCTAAGTTAGCCGCTAGTATAAAGTTTACTCCGCCTAGGGAGTAAAGCGGAATGTGCGAGAGGCTTCCTAATTAGGTAACGACGGCAAGTATAAGGGTAATGCTAAGCGCCTAACTCGGACTAAATGCTAGTCGCTAGCGAGGTATATACTATAGCTAATTCGAGTATTATTAAGCCTAATTCGACGCCTATATTATAGGGCTGCCCTCTAAGGCTAGGAGGAAGGAAGCTTGTTCTATAGTAGCGATAGGGCTTTAGCTATAGTACGTAGAGTATATACTATAGTAAAATGCTATCGACGTCTCTTAAATAGGAAGGAGTATTATAGCCTTACGTCGTATTACTAACGTATATTTGCTAGAGATCTCGAATATCGAGTCGTCGTCGAGCTAAGCGCTACTACCGCGGAGGTCTTCTAAGCTTAAAAATAGTTAGATTAATACGAAAGTTAAATAGGAAGAGAGTGTTCGATAGATAGAACCTCTGCTATCTACTATATAGGTCGCTATCTAGCGTCGTTATAGTATCGTAGTATATAATCTATACTAGTATACTAAAGCCGGATTTAGTAGTTTATTTGATTGCTCGATCGGAAGCCGCGCTATAGTATATATATTATATATAGTGCCGATTTAATTATATAGGCAGTCTATTACAAGGCATACGCTACTTACTATTACGATTATCTAGTTATTCGGCTAGTATACTATGCCGCATATACTACTTGCTATAGTAGTTACTTAGTTACGCTTACTATATAGATAAGTACGTACTTATAGGCAATAGTATTACGGGGTGACCCTCCTATTCCTAGTTGTAGATGCCTTAGGCATTAAGTCTTAGCGCCGTAGTTTTTACGCTTCTCGCGCGCCTCTTATAGATAGACATCTTCGAGAACTCGTTTTAAACTATTTAGTTGCTGCCTTTAACATTTCTCGAAGATCCCTAAATAGATCGAGATACGGCTATTATTAGGTAATTAGTAGTCGTGTCCTAGTTCTACTTATATATAGGCCTAACGCCTAGAGCGCGTCGCTATATAAATAGTATAGTATAAGCGAAGTACGGTACTTTAGTCTTTAGTACTCCGAATAGACTCTTCTTAGTTAGAAGACACATTCGTATATATTAACAATAAGTTATTAGGTAAGGATAATATATCCTAGTAGTAATAGGACGGCTCGATGCCTCTACCGCTAGTTCTATAGTATAGCAACACTTAGCAGTCTGCTTAGTCTTAGACTCTCTAATAGCAATCGGCCTAGGACCCCGAAGACGATAACAATTCCTTTAACTTTAATATAGGCCTTAACGATTAGTCTAATAAGAAAGAGGAGGAAGGCGGCGAAGACGCTCTAATCGGCGAGCTAAAGCCGGGGCAGTATATATAGGAAGAGCTCGAAGAGATTATAGGTATAAGCTATACTAGCCGCACGGATCCTAATATCGACGATGCTCGCTTCCTTAAAGACTCCCCGACTAAGCCCGCTCCGCCGCCTCTACTACTAGATATCTAAGGTTTCGAAGAAGAGGAAGACCTACCTTAGAAGCGTCGCGGTCGGTAGGCTAGACGTAAGCAAGACGCAAACGGCTCTTAGCTTCCTTCCCTAGTTAGGTCTATAAAGGCCCTAAGAATAAGATCTCGTCTATATATACTAGTAGCTAGCACTAGCTCCGGCAGAATTTAGCTTAATCTAGACTAAGGCACTCGCGTACGTACTACGTCGACTCTAGACCTTACGGACTAGATACTATACGACTAGAATCTACGTAGCGAGGAAGTGCTACGTTATAACCTTAGACATTTTAAGGATATTACCGATATATAAGACCTGTCTACGCGCGTATAAAAGCACCCTAATAAGTAGCTAGACCTCCTTAACAATGCTGCCCTACTATAGGCCGACTAACCTGCTGTTCTATAGTAGACTATTAATAAAGTGAATTAAGCGAAGCAGGAACGCGACAGCGCTATATCTCGCGTCTAGTACCTAAAGAATGCTAACAACGCTTATACTATTTAACTAAAGGAGCTAACCGAGAAGAGTAAGCGCTACGAACTAGCGCTAAAGAAAGCTAAAGAGCGTATTGCCCGGTACCGTTCTATTAGAGATGCCGATAAGATAGAGATCGAGCAACTCTAGAAAAAGGTTAAAGGTTTAGAAAAACAACTTACTATTACTAAAGCTAATACTAGCAACACTCCGAAGCGCCGTAGTAAGCTATAAACCGATAACAAAGACCTCCTCGCCTAATTCGAAGAAGACTCCGATAATGTTTACTTTACTATACGCTAGAATAGAGGCACCGGTGCTACCGGCCGCAAGCGCGAATAAACGCTTCCTACTAAGAGCTCCCGCAATACGCCGGTTAAGAAGCGCCTAGAGCGAGAGCGAGAGCGCACTTAGCGAGAAGAACTTAAGAATGCGTACGCCGCTAGCGATAAAGACGATAATCTAGGCTCCTTAAGCAGCTCTACGTCTAAGTCCGACGAGTACGACCGAGACTACCGAGGTCGATACCGAGGTCGTTATAATAGCCGCGACCGTAAGTATAAGCGTAAGGACAAGTCTACTAAGTTGCCCGCTATGTTTGCGGCTAATAATAAGGCTAAGGATAAGGACATACCGTTCCGCGAATAGAAGAGCAAGATGCTATATGCACTAGGCGAGAGCAAGAAGTCTAAGAGGAAGAAGATCCGAGCCGTACTTAATAACAATACCTACGAGAATCTACTTACTGCAACCTATCGCCTCTCGAAACATAAGCGCTTTATGCTAGCGAAGGACATAACCGCGGAATACGCTAGTAACCTCTAGTATTAGTATATATAGCGAGATGTCGGATATATAGACGTTTTCTATAGCAATCGCGGGTTATAGTAGACATTAACGTTCTTTAAGCGCCTTATACGCAATGTTAGTACTAAGTAGCGCATATCTACTGCCTTCTATCCTACTACCGACGGTTAGTTAGAAAATACTAATAAGGAGCTCGAGCAGTACCTCCGCGTATATATTAACTATACCTAAGACGACTAGGTTAACTAGATCCCGAACGTAGAATTCGCCGCTAATAGTGTTCAATCTAATACTACCGGAGTTAGTAGATTCTTTACTACTACTAGCCGCAATCCTCGTATACGATTATTAGCCGCCAAGCTTGTAAAACTAGACCTACCCGCGGCTAGTCCCGCGCGTACGTCCGAGCTTAAAGCTAATAAATTTGCGAAATAAATAGAGCTTCTATACGAACACCTTATTACTTAAATGCGATATGCCTAAGTACGCACAGCCGCCGCTAACGATAAAGTAAGAAGACATAGTCCCGTATACGCCTATAAGATTAGCGATAAGATATAGCTCGATACCCGCAATATTTAGACTAAACGCCTAGTAAAGAAGCTCGACTATAAGTATATCGGTCCGTTCGAAATTACCCGAGTAATCGCTCTAGATATATATTAACTAGCCTTACCTAACACTATACGTATCTACGATCGCTTCTATACCTTACTCCTACGCCTCGATAACGGCAACCTATATCTAAACTAAACTAATACCGAGCTACCGCTAGAAGCAGACGAACAAGGTAAAGAACGATAGGAAGTAGACAAAGTTGTTACTAGTCGATAGAAGAATAGCTATAGCAAGAAAGAAGTTGTTTATATAGTGTAGTAGGTAGGAGGTGCGCTAACGGACAATAAGTATACGAAGAACCTAAAGGGTACCGTAGAGGACGCTATCGCTAACTAGCATTACGATAACCCTCGTACTGTAGGGCCTATACTAGGCTAGAAGAAGCTAGTAGGCTAGATACTATATAAGCCGATTAAGAAGCTGCCGCCGGCCGTAGTACCTCGCCGCTTAGTACGTAATGTACCTTCCGCTTAACCCGTCCGCCGAAGTATTAAATACCTTACCGGTATAGCCCTCCGGTATAGCTCTTCTAGACTCTAGCTAAGGCTCTAACTATAAGGGACTATATATACCTCTCGTATCGTCCGTAGGATACTATACTATCGCACTTGCTTACTACTTTACCGCCTAGCGCCGCTGCTAGCGCCGCTTCTAACGATAAGTATAACGATTTGTATAATATCTCTTTGCTTTTATAAGCGTCGCAATACCTCTGCTTAAGGGGGGGGTAGTATTACGGGGTAACCCTCCTATTCCTAGTTATAGATGCCTTAGGCATTAAGTCTTAGCGCCGTAGTTTTTACGCTTCTTACGCGCCTCTCGTAGATAGATATCTTCGAGAACTCGTTTTGAACTATTTAGTTGCCGCCCTTAACAAATAGAAGCAAACGTCTAGTAAAGGACGGAAACTAAAACTACTACTACTACTAGTAGTAATAGTATAGGCTACCGAGGGTAACATAACCTATAGCAATATAGGCAGCTATGTTTAGTATAATAGGATAACAAGACGGTTGCTTAGGCTAATAACTAGAGCCCTGCAATATAGGCATTATAGAAGTGTAACGTAAACAATATACTATACGAGGTTAGTGCTCTGTCTATAATGCAGAAGGAGGCCTCTTATATAGGCTTAAAACTTAGCCTAGGTATGTAGGGCCGGTTACTAGCTAATATCCCTCCCTTTCTTCGTATCTAACTAGACACGCTTTATATTGCGCGCTCAAAACAAACAAACAGTTATATAGGGCACCTTAGGCATCTTAGCTAAGGCTATTTTTTAGAAACTCCGCAATAATACCCCCGGGGTAGCATTGTTCCTAGATTCTATTAACATACAAAAACAACTTCCTAAGCATCTAATCTACTACGCTAACTTACTGCTGCTTTAATGCACCGTAATCCTTACTAGCAATAACCTTATCTACTAGTCGGCTCTCGAAATCTCCTCCGTATACGTTAAAGCTATTAGTACCGAAGTACTATCCCTCGTAGAAAGCTTAATTAACGAGGAGGTTAATAGCCTTTTCCGTCGTAGCATTCTCCTAATTGTATAGATATTCCTTAAGTCCCTCGTTATTAAGCTAGAGGATCTGTTTAACTTCGTTCTAAATAACGTAACTTAACTAAGGAATCCTACTAACTAGAGCGTCGGAGATGCAGCCGAGGCCTTCGACTAAGATCGCTATAGAGAAAGCGAATAGTACGAAGGAGTTAGAGGCCGGGAGGGCGGTTAGATTACGGTACGCCTTAGCAACCTAGGAGACTATTAAGTTCTCGTAACCCTTAACCTTAGTACTATTAATAACGCGAGAGTAGCCTAGGTTAATTAATATACGGTTGCTCTTAGTCTTTAGATTACTATATAGTAGGTATAGCATCTAAATAGAGACCTTGCACTCCTTTAGAGGGTTGAGGATCTACTCCGCTTTACGCCCCTTACTATTAGGCTAACTATCGAATATGCAGTCGAGGTCGTCGCCGGTAAGGTGCTTATTAGTAAGCTTGCCGATCTTGCTTAGCGGGACTAGGCTACGAGCCTTAAGCTTCTTAACCTAGTTCGCAAAGACCTCGGGCTAATATATGCCTTCGACAATAGTAGAGCAGCTAGTCTCATCCTTAGATATAAGACAGACCTTAATACGTAGGTAACTAGCACCCTCGCTAGCTGCGAGCTTAACTATATCTTATCTAAGACGAGCAGACTCCTTAGAAGGACAGTTTTCGTAAGTACCGCTAACCTTAAAGAACTTAGTAGGCTTAGGGACGGAGATAAGCTCGTATACGTAATTAGGTCGAAGGGCGACAGCTAAGAGCTATAGGGCAGGGTACTAGCGGACGATTTAGTTGCTTATACTATAAGTTTAAAGGGCATTACGGCCTTCTTGCTTAGACTTAGGTATATTACGTATATACTAAAGGTACATCTTAAACTCTTCCTATATTAGGTCGATAAGGAAAGGAAGATATACTCTACGAGGCTCTTATAACTAACTAAAGACTTAAGGGAAGATAGTATTGCTAGTCTAGCGAAAGCGATCGAAGGAGGTGCCTTAGCTAAGAATGCCGGTAACGAACTTGCTCTAGCGATCTGTTAGCGTAAGGGCGCGAGTAATAGTACTAGTAGGGTTGAACGCGTAGAGTCCTAGAGATATCGGGGCGGCAACAGGGCGTCTAGGAAACTAGTTAGTATAGGCCTAATTAGCCTTAAGGGTAGCGAAGGCGTCTTAATTAGGAACCTCGCGACCAATCTTTAATAGGCGACCGACGAGGACACTCGCCTTAGTACTAGTATAGAGACTATAGACCTTAGCGGCCTTCTTAATATAGTTAGTATATATAGAGAACGGCTTTTCTCCTAGCTTACTAAGGTCGTCGAGCTATTAATAGATAGAGAGGGCGGCAGGAGCTTCGCCTATTGCGGCTTTAGGAACTATATCGATATCGGTAATAAGGTGCGCGATAGAGTCGCCCTTATAAGAACTACAAATATTCTTAGTTAACAGGATCGGCGAGAGGCCTCTATTTCTGCGCTCGCTAAAGGAGCCTTCGGAGGAGACATCTTCTAGTAGTGCATCTAGTATATTAATATCCGAGTTACTATAGTTAGCACTATAGTTAGTACTATAGTCGGTACTAGAAGGAGCGCTATACTTCTTAGTAGCCTTACGGAGGGCCTAGCGAGCATACAATGCCTTCTTACGCGCTGCTTCGGCCTTAGCGCGCTCGTCTTAAACTTCTTAAGGGACCTTACGGTTACGGGTCGAGCGACGATCCTTAGCCTATATCTCCGTAGCGAGCGCGAGACTAGTAGCTATATCGGCCTCCGTTTCTAGGCGAAGAGCCTTGCGTTTAAGAACATTAACGATAGGAGCCTCTTAACCTTTAATAATAAAGCCTATACTATTAATGCGATAGCCCTTCTCCTTTAGTAGATCCTTAGTTGTCTATACGTTAAGATCGACCTAGATAATCGCATCGTAGTACTTCTTCTAGTAGGCTATCGTAAAGTCGTTAAGCGTAAAGGATAGGTTAAGTAACTGCTTGCCTACCTTCTTACTAGCGGTAGATATACGATAGATTATAGTACGGGAAAGATGCTTAGCGCCTTAACAACGGACCTTGTACTTATTAACGAACAAAGAAACCTGCTTAGCACGCTCTTGTCTACTATAGGCGAAGTTAATAAGGCTCTTAGGAAGACTACTTAGTTCTCCCTAATATTCGAAGGCCTAGTCGAGGGTCTTAAAGCGCAAACGAATCTAGGTGCCGGCAGTCTCGAGGCTATAGACGATAGGAAAGGCTTGTTCGATATCTATATCGTTAAGAACCTCGCGCTTAAAGATACGCTTACCGATAGACTAACGCAAGTTGTTTATACCGTACGCAACTAAGACAGTAGCCTTCTTAATATTCCTATTGATAACGCGTAGCAGGGTACGAGCGTTCTAGATCTTCTCTTAAGGGTCTTTAAGGGCGGTAACGATCCGGAAGCAGTGCTCGAGGCTGGTTGCAGTAGCTAAGGCGCTATCGGATAGGGCTTCGATCGGGACTAGGGCGGCTAGGCTTAGGTTAATAGGGGCAGGTAGGTCGTTGCTGCTACTAGCGCCTAGCGGATTCGAGGCGCCGGAAGACATAGTCGACCGAGGTAGTTTAGAAACGAGTTTGTAAAGTGTGTTCGTTGCTTAACAATAATAATTAAAGGGTTTAGATAGAAGGGGGGTTTTAGGCGGTAGCGAGTTAGTTAGTAACCGAGTAGAAGAAGGAGCTTAGGAAGCTCGCTTTAAATATAGTGCGAAGGTAACGTAGTCCGTGTATTCCGCGCTAGTAAAGCAAACGGATAACGGCTATATATAAAAGTAAAGCTACATACGAGACCTCTTTATTATTAGGGCAGGCTAAAGTTTGATAATCGATCTAGCTAATTGCTAGTAGCGACTACGCGCCTTTGCTAACCTTTAGCTATCGTAGATTCCCGCGCACTCGAAATGTAACTAGTTAGTTCGAGTCCTTAGTAGAAATCTATAGTAGTGAAGCTAGCGGGACTAATAATACCCCTAGGGTAGTATTAGCTTTTCTCTAGAGATACTCGGTAGCGAGAAGCAAGTCGCCTAGGCCTAGCGTAGCTAATTCGTCGGTATATTAGCCTATAGCACTGCCGTTATAGATGCAGCATCACCTTTTATATTAGCAAGTACGTAAGGGTAGTCTATACGTTTACCTTCTTCCTTCTTCTAAACACTAAGCTTAATAGCCTAAGGTCCCTATTCTTAGAGGCTATAGGCCTAGGTTGCTATGTCTATCTAAGAGCTAGGAAGGGAGAGGGATAGGGAACCTCCCTTTCTTAGTATCCTGCGTAACTAGTACTAATTAGGGCAGGAACAGTCTCTAGTAGAGTATCTTGTTGTCGTTGTTACTTAAGGAAGGTTGCTAGAGTCTAGGAATCTAGAGGGAAGTGGTCCTAGAAGGGTAGAGGGGTTAGGTTCGGCTATCTTCCTAATGCTACCCCTAGGGTATTATTAGGAAAACACGCCTCGTATAGTTCTATCTAAGGAAAAATAAGAGCAAAGGAATAAAGTTATAGCAACATCTCGAAGGCAAAAGAGCAATATAATAGACAAAGTAAAAGCAAAAGAGGGCAGCAACTATAAGCATTAACATCCGTAGGAACAAGCAGTAAGGACTAAAGCTATAGGGCGGCACTACATTAATAGCGCGGAGAAGGTAAGGAAAACAACGTAGTAGAGGTAGGGAAAGATAAGCAATTATTCAGTCTCGGGATCTAGCTATAATTCTAGGCGGTCTTCGTCGCTAGACTAGTCGAGCTCCTCCTCGGAGTTAGAGTTAGATAGCTAGAAGTCTAGTTTACTATCGGAATCAATATCGGAAATGCTCTACGCGCAATTAATACGTATATAACCCTCCCTTTGTTTATAAGTTATTCCTAATAGCTTACTAAGATGTATCTAGGGATGCGTATAGTTGTCGGGCAGAATAGGATCTATAATCGCGGTAGGATCCTCCTCTCGATAGGCATCTAAGGTCGGTAGAGGGTCTATAGAGGCATTAACTTCCTCCTCGGTCGAGGGAGGACAGGTAGGCTCTCTTAACTCGACGACCTTCTTTAGGTTAGCCCGGGGGTGCGAGTGCTTTAAGGTAGCACTATTAAGTTCCTAAAGTCGATACGTAGAACTATCGTAAAGGACCTCCTATACTCTATAAGGCCCTTTCTATTTAAAGGCTAGCTTATAGGAGTAACTATATTCTAGCTCCGACCGGTATAGGAGAACTATATTGCTAACCTTTAGAGGCTCCTAATTAATAGCATTATAGTTATCAAAATACTACTTAGCCTCTTTACGAAGGCGACGTTGCCGAGCAAGTCCCTCCTAAGAAGTAGTCGTTATGTCCTTAAGAGCCTTAGCGCGTAGGGCAAGGAGATCTACTCTAGTACGAACAGACCCCTAGTCGTAAACGCTATACGTGCGGTAGGACAACTTAATAGGAAGAACGGCGTCCCTCCTAATTATAAGCTCTACTAGCGTAAGTCTAGTCGTATCGATAATAGTAGTTCGATCCGCCTAGAGAAGGGCTAGAACGCGGGTAGAAATAGGAACGGACCTATCCCCTCTATTAGTTATCTTAGATAGGGCATCGATTAAAGACCGATAGCTACGCTTAATAATAGCATTCGACTAGGGATAGTATAGGGAGATACGAACGTTTTTCGCCCTATACGAAAGAAGTAGCGCTTAAACTTCTTTAGCTATATTGTTCGTAGCGTTATCTAAGATAATCTCGTAAGGTGTTCCCTAGCGGTAAAACAGATCTTTAAATAGGAAGGTAGCTATATTACGAGCATTAATAGCGCCGCAGCCCTTATAGAAATAATAGGCCTCCGGCTATCGAGAAAGACCCTCCCGAATAATATATAAGCTATTGTTGCGACTAAGATAGACCCTATCGCTATACTATCGCTCTCCGACTAATTAGATAGTAGGGATACGCAGTTCCCCTAGACGTCGGTAGCTATTCCTAAAATTGCACTTAGGATAGCTCTTATAGTAGCGGGAGACATTAGCCTATACGCCGTCCTACTAGTAGCGCTAACGAAGGACATCGAAGGTGCCCTCCGCCGCCCGGTAGCCGAGCTTATCGTAAACGGAACGAAGGATCTCTTATCGGGCTGCTAGGTCGTTAATAACACGCTAGAGAGGTATATTAACTATCGCTTATCGCTAAAGGATTCGATCTTTAACTAGGAATCGTCGAGAATAGTAAATAACCCAACGGTATTAACTCTTTAATAGGCTAGGCGCTTTCTTCGTATAGGTTAGGAAGTAGGCGATGTAATAGGAGTCGTCGGAGTAGACTCTATTAAGGATATCATCCCTCTCTAGTTTATCCGCCTCTAGTTTAGCCTAGTCGTTATCGTTAGTAGTAGGGCTCTCGTCGGGCTAGTTACTAGGTTAGTCGCTAGGTTAGTCGTCGGCAGCAGGCCTAGTAATCGCTAGCATAGCATTAATATAGAAGGTAGCGAAGAAAGTGCGGTTAATTACCGTATCGATATCCTCTTCTTCTATTATCTCGGCGATATCTTCGCCTATAGCGGGCCTTCTAGAAAGGCTATCCGGTCTAGTATGCTTCTTACTAGGAACGTAGAAGACGTCGAAGTTAAACAAATAGATCTAGGCAACCTACCGAGCTATCGTAGAGTTTAGTAGGTCGGAGGCTATACGGTTAAGCTAATAGACTAGCGTCTAAGTATCGATTTCTAGACGAAAGAATATACTAAAGAGCTATAGTCGGAACTTCTTTAGAGCCTTATAGACTCTAAGGCATTCTCGCTTACTAGTATCGTATCGGGCCTCGATCGGTTTCTATAGCCCGGAGTCGTACCTAATAGGATAACGCAAGGATAGCTCCTTACGGTTACACTATATTAGTATCTCGCTATAGCCTTCCCCGCTCGAGTCGATAGCAACAATTATCAAACCCGTACCCTCTAAGTAGTTAATAGATGTTAGTACAGGTACGCTAACGAGCGCCTTAGTTACCGTATCCTTAGCCGCTTAGTAAACGGAGGTCTATTCGAATTTAGCATCCTTCTTAAGCAAGGCGTATAAGGGCTTGTATACTAATACAAAGTTCTCGACCTAGATACGGAAGTAGGAGACTACTCTAAGCCAGGTTCGGATATCCTTCTAATAGGTAGGATCCGGCTAGGACACTATCTTTAGGACCCGTACATTATTAGGATAGCGGCCGTTCTTATTAGTTATAAACCCGACAATGTTTATTCGTTTATATAGGAGCTAAAGCTTCTCCCTATACACCGTTAGATTAGCTCGTTCTAGGTCGCAGAGGACGCTATCGAGGTTCTAGATATATTCGAGAAAGAACCTACGGATACTAGGCTCTACTTCTTTATTATCGTACCTAGTTTTAGGGCCCTTAATACCGATATCGTCGAGGAAAGGCATCGCTATATAGGAGATATAGGCCGCGAGGACTTGGTTTATAATACGAACGAACTAGGCTACGGAGTTAGTTGCCCCTTAGGGAAGGGTAGTTTGTCTATATAGCCTAAGAGGTGTCTCGAAACTAGTAAGGTCGCGGCTATTAGGGTAGAGAGGGATCTAGTCGTAGCCCGAGAAAACATTAACTAGTAAGGCTATAACATAGTTA